TCCGGCTCCTCTGATGCTGCTTGGCCTGCTGTATTCATCCAGCTCTACACCTTGTTATTTCAGATTCTCCAGCATCTGCAGTTCCTACTAACCCTGGTGCCTTTCTGTCTGGGACCACCTTTGTTTAGTGGATAAGTTGTTGGGGATGTCTGTCCAGGATAACTGTTGTCTTTTACATTATACTAATGTCATTAGCATCAGTTGTGTTTGCACTGTGTCTGGTGGGTGGGTTTTGTGATTTCAGCGTTTTACTTGGCCAATGTACCCAGCATCCCTTGTTGTTTGGCCAAATTAGCAATCTATCCAGGAGGCTGCTGCACTATGATCTATGAATACTCTCTCATTCCAGTCATGATGGCACAAAAGCCACAGAGATTTTCTTCTCCCATCCCTTTAAATGGTCTGTTGAGCTCTGGCAACAGTGAGAACAGCAGTGGGTTTTATCCAAACCACAATCTTTTGTCCTCTTATTTTACACTGTGTGCTTTTTCTGACTGCAAAACAAATAGAAAGACACAACCTCTGCTCTATAGTCAGAGACCTGCTTCAACACCAGGACCTGTTTGAAGATGGCAAAACATTCAGGGAGAACCTTGCTTGTTTCCTTTCTTCATTAATTCACAATGTGTTCTGAGCTGCCAATCCTGTTGCAGTTAACACTTTATTTACCCTTTGCAGCTAACAAGGGCATTTCCTTCAACCAAATGAATCTTGTAGGAATATTGCACTGAAATTAACCAAAGGTTTCACAAAATATATTTGAGCACCACTCCGCTCAGCCTGCACCCAGACAGACAGCCCCTGCTTCTTCAATCTATTCGTGTAACTGGAGTCTGTCAACACCTGGAGCTGGTTTCATTAATCTTTTCTGCAGTCTCTCAAATGCCTTAGCAAATGAAAAGCTGTTTCACCTTGTTCAGAACAGTAGGAACAGAGACCATGGCATGTACCTGAAAAGGGGAGTAAATTCATAACTAATCTGCAGATAAACTATTTATATTGACCAAGGAGTAAATCCTAGGAACAGTCCCACCAAGGCATTGTTATCCAATACATTCACCCCTCATTACAGGTGGCTAATTGTACTTCTGTTGAAATAAATAACGAGTCACAGTCAAACATTGGGCATGTCATCTGCAAACTCATTCTCACGAAGTATGCATGTGAACTTTAACCTGTTTGGTTGTTTGGTGTAACAATTAAACAAAAGCTGTGTGCGCATGGACACCCTTTTAGATCAATATTTGTGCACCTTTGTGGATTTAAATGTCAACTGTGTCAACTCTTGCCTCTGAGTCAGGAAGTTCAAGTTGTACTGCAGGGCTTGAGCACAAAACTCAACAACACTCTCACGTAGTGCTGTTAAAGCATAGCACCCTCAGAGGTGCAATCTCTCAGAAGCAATATTAAACTGATGCCTTGTCCACCCCCTCAAACATCATCACAAAATCAGATGACCTGCTTGTTATCGAATTTACTGCTTATGGGAGTTTGCTGTGTGCATTTTGGCTGCTGTCTTTCTTAAATTGACACTTCAAAAGTATTTAATTGGCTGTACGCGCTTTGTGATGTCTTAACATTGTGAAAAATGCAAGAAGGCTTTTTGTTGTAAAAGCAAAATACTGCGGATGCTGAAAATCCAAAATGAAAACAGAAAATGCTGGAGAAACTCAGCAGATCTGGCAGCATCTGTGGAGTGAGAAACAGGGTTAATGTTTAAGAGTCTGGTATTAGTCTTCTTCCAAACAAGAATCTTCTTTCGTTTCAACAAGAATCATATGGGACTCAAACCGTTAACTCTATTTCTGCCTCCACAGATGCTACCAGACCTGCTGAGATCCTCCAGCATTTTCTGGTTTTATTCAAAAAATTTTTGTTGTCTGCGAACGTATGTATGGCACTTTCCCCAGAATCATCATAGTACGCTCATGACTTGTCAGCAATCTGTACTTGTCAACAGTACTGCTACAGAGATAGGAACATAGCAACAAGAAGAGGCCATTCAGCCCATTGAACCTGCTCTGCCATGTAATATGATCATGGCTGATCGAACTCTTCAATGAGTTTTACCTCCTCCATGCCATTGATACTCAAAAGTTAATCAACCTCTATGTTAAATGTGCTCAAAGATTGTGTTGATTCAATCACATGCAAATGGACATGAACACTGCATGTAAAAGAAGCATGTCAAAATTGTCTGGTTTCCTGGCTAGTAAAGGGAAGCTTAGAGGTTCAGTTTGCAGTGAACTTCTCATAGCATCATATTGTACATTTATTTTTCACAGTGATTAATTCTATTAGTTCCCTCTAATCAGAGCTGTCATCAACAGGAAAGTGTTAGCAATGCATTAAAGGCAAGACCACAATTCCCCAACTCCCTTTAGCAAATGTGTGATGATATATTTGATACAGTACAACACCGCTAATCCGAGCACTGTTAGCCATCAGTAATAAAAGCAGTGTTCAGTTGCTTTGAAGAGCATTTCACAAGGCTGTGCACAATGGATTGGTCAAACCACATTTAGAATATTGATTTCAGTTCTGGGCAACTTGCCATGCACTCATAACATGTTATAGAACAGAGCAGCAAGACTGATCTCCCGTGTAAAAGGATGAGTTCCGAGGCAAAGTTAGAAAATCTTTATAGGCCTGATAGAAGGTGATTAACAGGAGACCTTATCCAATGATTTGTATGCTTTGATGTGGTATACGTTCTTTAATACTACAAAGCTGGACCAAAGGATAAAGATGGAAATAGTTAAGGAGTAAACTTAGAATATATGGAGCAACAGAATGATAAACATCTGGATTAAACTCCTAAAGAGGTTGAATCCCTTGGCTGGAGAGTCTAGAACTTGACGGCACAGACTCAAAGCAAGGGACTGATCATTTAATAATGAGGCATGAAAGAAATTCCTAACTCAGGAGTTTATACACCTTTGGAATTCTCTACCCCATGAGACATGGTTGCTCATTGGTTGAGTATGTTAAAGGCTCTGATAGAGTTTTGTACACTTGGAAATTCAAGTGCATAATGATCAGGCAGGAAAGTGGTTTCAAGGTCAAAGATCAGCCATGGTCTCATTGAATTGAGGAGCAGGTTCATGGGGCTACCAGATAATTTACTCTTGTTACTACATTTTTATACTTTACAGAGCGATGTGATCACCTCAAAACACTTGACTTACCCAAAACTTGATTGCATAACATGCTGGCTGCTTTCAGGTAGATAAGGATGGACAGAAAGGCCATAAATACTGACTTTTTATTTTCCTGCTATTTTGGAATTGAAAGGAAAATGAAAGCAAACAGATGGTTACTAAGTAAGGGAAGACCAGGAAAAGGCATGGGCATACCAACTGAAACAACAGTTGATATGGACAGTTTTGCTGCATTTGTCGGAACATTACCTTCCTTTTTCACCTGGTAATACCAACCACTCTCAGTCTCCCACCCAATCCAAGAAAAAAATCTCATTGATGAATAAAAACGGAAATTGCTGCAACAGCTCAGCAGGTCTGGCAGCATCAATGGAGAGAAATCGGAGTTAACGTTTCAGGTCCAGTGGCCCTTCCACAGAACTCTCAGTCTCCCAACCAGTCCATGAAACAAATCTCATTGAGCAATGTTAGTCTTTTTTATAAGAATACAAGCTAAGTCTCTCCAGCTCGTGGAGTTGCTGGTCTCCACCCTTTAAAAACAATCTCCAGACACACCCTCATGTTTGGAATTTTGGCCTTTCCTCGTAATTTGTTCCTCTGTGAGATTTGTCCATTCTTTTTCTCTGTTGAAGAAGATTTTCAGTGCAATGTCCTCACTCTA